AGAAACAAATCCATAACTATAGAGAACAAACAGAGGGTCACCAGAGGGGAGGTGTGTAGGGGGATGGGTGAAGTAGGTGAAGGGAATTAAGAGTTCACTTACCAGGATGAGCACTAAGTAATGTATAGAATTGTTGAATCACTATATCGTACACCTGAAACTAATATAATACTGTATTTTAACTCTTGGAATTAAAATAAAAACTTAAATAAAAATAAAAACTGTTCTCAAAAAAATTTTTTTAGTTTTTTCAAACAAAAGCAATACCCGTTCAGTAGTAGAAATAATCACAAATAGAGGTAAGTCAAAAAGGAAACCATCAGATAACATTTTACAATATTTAGATGGCTGAGCATATGTACTTCTATAAACATGTATACCTAGAAGACCATGTTACGGACTGAGTGTTTGCACTGGTATCCTCCCCAACGCCCCCACCCAAAAAAAAAAAAAAAACCCTTCTGTTGAAGCCCTACCTCCCATGTATGCCAAATTTGGAAATAGGACCTTTTTAGAAACAAGGTTAAATGAGGCCATAAGAGTGGGGCCTTCATCAGATGGGACTAATGTCTTGATAAGAATAGACCTCGGAGAGCTTGATTTCTCCCCCCAAGAGACAGAGGAAAGCCCGTATGAGGTGCAGTGAGAGGGGGCAGTCTGTAAGCCAGGCAGAGAATCTGCTGGTATCTTGATCTTGGACTTCCTGGCCTCCAGGACAGTGAGACCTAAGTGTTTGCTGTTCATACCCCTCCCCGTCTGTGGTATTTCCATATAACAGCCCACCTAAGATGAAATCTGAAAACTTCCATGATTATTGCACAAAAAGACACACAAATGAGCAGAGAAGTAGGTTTTCCTCTGAAAACCAACAGGTATGTGTCCCACTGTATTTTAGCATCTCATTTTTCATTAATTAACCACCTATTGGCTCTATTTGTACTTAGTTTTTGAGTTGTTTTTTCTTTAACACCAGGACCTCCATCGGGTCTGACAAATAGGACAATAGTGAGTATTGAAAGTGCTGGTAAGAAGGGGGTCTACTATTAGGACATGGCGATTTTTAAAAGTAGTAAAAATATGTCATCGGTACACATGGAATACAGGTGAATTCTGTGGTGAGCAAAATCATGACAGAAAATATCTTGCATCATACGAAATGTGCTGTGTCAGGTAGAGGAAGAAAAATGGCCATAAAAGTAGAGAAATTTAAGGGTGTGATGTATCAGTGGAGGATGAATATTGCAGTATTTCTTCAGAGCTAAGGTGCTTTTGTTTTCACCATTTGACATATCTGAAGTTGAGATATTTTACCACTGATTGTTGCTGTCAGCCAAGTGGCAGGCATGACACAGGTGTCCTCTCCTGGGCATGTGTAAACATCAAAAGAACAGCACCAAACTTGCAGGATGGGCGGCTGGCAGCTTAGAAGAAAACCCTGAAGGCAAAAATGAAGCACTCTTAAAGCCTTTGTGGATTTGCAGAGGGGCTTGGAGGTGTGAATCTGACTTGTTCAGCCACATTCCAGAAGTGGGAGTCAGAAGTTAGCTGGCTCTGGATAATTGCAGAGCTGACTTAAGAACTTTGCACCCCTGGTTCTGAGGCTCCTAGTTCTAGGGTGAATTATTTAAGAAATGTTGCATCGCCAACGGTCCCATGGAACACAGGCCACTATTGCCTGGGAAATCGTGACCGTTAATGATTCAGAGTTGAAAACTGATGAGCAGTGGAATTCTCAATGTGAAGACATTTTGGAAAACCTTATCCAATATACTTCACCTATGTAATCTTCTTAAATATACCCCAGAGGGATATGTAAAAATTTGTCTAAGTCCAAAGGAGCCCTTTCAAAAAGAATAAAATAAAAATTCAAAGTGGTAAGAAAGTATTGCACTTAGTTTTGTTGGCAGCTTCCCCTCGTTTCTTAGAGGTAATAAAATAATAACTCATTTGAAAAGGGCATCTTAGAACTGATGAAACACCATAGCCTATTGCTATAATGGGGAGAAAGCAAGCGGTTTGAGACCCTGAAAGCCCCTGCAAGTGAAGGGGATACAAATGCCACAGGAACATGGGCTTTAAGGCCCACTTAGAGCCTGCTCATCTTCAGAGGGAGAGGTGAGGTGACCCCTGCAGAGAGTGAGCTGCTCAGGAGATCCTGGCTACTTTGCAGATCTTCCCTCACAACTGTCCAGACAAACGTGTACTGGCAAAAAGGGTATGAGGGTACCCAGGGAAAGCACCATCAGAGGGCCACTCACTCTCCTGGAAACGTGGCCGGGTGCCTGGAACACTGCACATTGATCTCTGAGGCACTTGGGTCTGTGAAGAAATGGACTTAGAAATATAGCCTTTGGATCCTAACCTGTTTGTTAATGAAATGTATGTGGGGCATTTACCGGTATTTCTTCACACACATTCGTTTGTATGTACCTATATGCCTTGTATCTAGATCTGTGTGTATATGACACAACTTACATGAGCTCATACACCTACACGCACACGCACTCACATACGTTGTTTGATAACCTGTGTTTTTACGTCTGTCTATCCTTTCTTTCCATGTCATTACATATTTGCTGTAGTATCATTGTAAATGACACCATAGAATTCCTTTGTATAGATTTTTTAACTAACTTATTTAGTCCCTCATATTATTAAAGGATTTCTTTTAGCTTCTTCAGGAGCATTCTTGTGGCCAAATTGGGTGCAGATCTGTAATTTTTTGTTAACTGGATCCTCACAGGTACCTATTGACCATTTAGACTTTGCATGGTCCAGGGCCCTTGGTCCTTTTGCCCACTTTTTTTTTTTTTAATTTTTTTGTAAATGTGTGCAGGTTCAAGGGTTGGGATGGGTGTTTGTGGACATGTTATTAGGCTTCGGCTCTGAGACCACCCAGCCCTGGATGATGACCTTGGGCTAGGTGTCTTAAGTTCTTTGGGCCTTAGTCTCCTCATTTGTAAATTGAGTCTATGACATGTGCTTTATAGGATTGTTGAGGTTGTGACAAGCATATCAAGTGCCTGGTACATGGTAATCCCTAAGTCAGGTTGCCAGCCAGGCTAGGCCAGCTTGGGGAGTGGGGTATAGAGTCCCAAAGCTCTAGGAGATGATAACAGGTACATGGTAGGTGTTGCTATTCATGGACTAATTATGCCTCTGCTCCTTCGGTCAGTACAGCTGGCTTCCTGGGTGTGTGACTCCTGCGACTGCACAGGGCTCTGTACGTGGTTATTCTTAGTTTTGAACACAGTCTCCATATTTTCATTTTGCACTGGACCCTACAGATTGTGTATCCAGTTCCACCTTGTAAGGTTGTTGGCAGTGTGATGCGAGAGGTCACAAAGCACATTCCGTAGTGCCAAGGATGTAATAGATATCGGTAATCATTAGATGGATATAATAATTTTTTATGAGCCGAGACAACTACGATAAGTGCATTCATTTAATTATTAAAAGTGTGAGGTAAATACATAATTAATCTCAGATTGAGAAACTGAAGCTCCAGAAGCTAAATCACCAACTAAAATTACACAGCTTATACACGCAGAACTTGGATTCAAACCCAAGTTCACCTCACCCAAAGCCCACACCACTGACCTGCCTTATTAAGTACTCCCTTCCTTCCTTCCCAGGGAACCTCTCTGTAAAGGTCAGTGTTTAAGCGTCCTTGATACTCATCAGCAGCCAACCCTCATCCCTAGCAGAGGTTTCACAGCCCCTCAGAATGTTCCAGAATTCCTGTCAGACCTGGGAAATTTGGGGGCTACAGAAGACAGTAAAGACAGTTCACCTTCTCAGTACTGCCCTGCCGTGTCTCCAAGCCTGCTCAGAGTTCTATTATCTGGCCAAATCTAGCCAACCCAGTGACAGTTCAGCTTGTGTCCTTTGACTCCTGATATACTTAGCTTAGGATGACTGATGTCCAACTAAACCTCCAAACTACCATGAGAATCAGCAAGAGATCTGCTGGTGTCAGATCTTGGGAAAGAGGCTGTGGGAGATGCCTGTTTCCAGGAGACTGAGGACATGGCCATCTGTCCTGTGGCAGGGATCCCTTGCTTTTCTACAGTGCCAGGTCATGATTTGCTCTGCCTACTCTTCCCTGCCAAAAATTTTTTAAAAATTAAGAAAATAATGAAGGGAGGGAGAAAAAGGATCCATTCCAGCACACTGCTAGTAAGTGGGTGTATAGCTTGGTACAAGGAAGCTTCCATGCAAGTTTGCTTTTAGTGTGTGTGGCCTTCGAGCGGGGAAATTAATACTTGAGCATTTCATCTCTTGGATAGCGGATTTGAATTTTGAATGTGACAATGAGACTGTTTGTTGTTTCAAAGCAATTCCCTAAGTGGCTGTTTGCTCAAGACTTTTGTAGTGTGAACAGAGATTTGGGGGAGGGGAGGAAGCCATCTGCTCTGGAATAGTCTTCCAATTACATGATCAAATTACTGCAGAGCAAAATGGAGGGAGTCCAACAGAAAGTTCCTGTCTGGTGTATCCAGCCCCAACCTGCTCTCTTGGGCCATTGTGTCAATGTGGAGATTCACATGTAGGTTTCAAAGGCAAGGCCATGATCGCCAAGAGTGTGAGCAGGAGAGGAGCAGAGAAAGCCAAGCAGAGTGGGGGAAAGCTTTCACGTTGCATCAACATGCTGTTCAAGAAAATGAAAAGATCTTGGATTTGAATTAAATGAACTTTTGGAGAAACTCCGTTTCTTTTCCTCTTGACTTTAGCAATCCATGTCTCTGATTACAATTAATTTATCATGTCAAATTAAAAAGTTATATCCCTTTATAAGTTCAGTTAGTGATTTTTTATTCGCTGATATTCTTGTAGAATGGAAATGTTTATTCTATTTGTTGAATACACCTATTTTTTTCCCTTAAAATAGAACAGTTTTCTGGTTTTTGAAATATGTCTTGATTTACAAAACATTATTGAGTCTTATTTTTTCTCCTAAATATGTGAGTATTTTTTCTTTTTATTTCTTTTGCTATTAGGCATTCATGCAGCCTCACTTGCTGGGAAATGAATTCACACATTTGGAGTTTCCAAGGAGAGTACAGAGAAAGGAACTTGGAAAGAAGATGCTCTACAGGGACTTTAATATGACAGGCTGGTAAGAACATGCCTCCCTCTGCCTCAGCACTGCCACAGTATGTGTGAAGGAATCATCACCATCATAAAAAGCCACTCACGCAGTTTGGATCAGGTAGTGCGGCCAGAGACCTGGGTTGGTGGCAAAGGACTGGGGACGTTGCTTCTGCTCTTTTTGCCTGGGCGCCAGTTCTTAAATCGCGGTGTTGGTCTGCCTCTGTACTTCCCTGACATCCTCCCTGGGGACACGAGACCCCACGAAGCTAACATAATTCCTCACTTCACATGCACAAGCGTTTTTGAGGCTTTAAAACACATTTAAGTTGGGTTTTTTTTAGGTCAGGGGCTCGAAGGAACAGGCTAACAGTTAATTGAGCCAAACTGGCCTGGATTTGAATCTGAACTCTGAGCTTTCTAAAGAGGCAAAGTTAGGTAAAGTACTTAACCCCTATGAGCCTAACTTTCTATGGATAAAGTGAAAAAAATGGGCTCTTTGAAGGGGTTGCTGTAAGGACTAGAGGTAATGAGCCATCTTCATTATTTTTTCACATTTACATTGCGATAAGAATCTTGGCAAGGGGCGTCTTCCTCCCACAACACACCTATGTCAGCACCAAGATCACTTCTGTGGTGGATCAGTGGCTAACAGTGACTAAGACCTCACCTGTTTCTTCCATATGAAAGACAGATAGGATAGAAAGTACATATACACCATAGGATTGACATGAGGACTAAATAAGAGAGCACAGGGCCTGGCCCATAGTAGTGGGGGTGAAGATTTGCTGTTAGCCCTGAGGTACTGGCCAGGGAGCCTCCTGCCAGCCTGGAGGAGAGCAGGAGGGTGAGACAGTGGACTCTTTGCTTGCCAACATAGGCATAGAAGTGGGTGCCATTATCTCTTCTCACGTTGACCAAAATAGCTGTCACACGTGATTACAGCCCAAAGTCTCATGGTAGTGACTTCTAGGCTAGAAATCTACTAGAATACACACTGTGTTAAGGGAACAGTTGAGCTGCCTAGGGAAAATAAGGGGCTGATCTAAGGCACTTCAATTTATCCCCTATCATCTAAAAGAGAAGATTTTCCCTACTATCCACTCTTCTTATAAAGCAGGGTCAGCAAACTATGACCCAGAAGCCAGATTCCACCTACACACCTTTCTGTAAATATTTTTTTGTTTTGTTTTGAGTACAGCCACATTCGTTTGTATACATTTGATCTTTGGCTACCTTCACTCTACAACAAGGTGGTTGAGTAGCTGGAACAGAGACTGTATGACCCATAAAGCTTAAACTATTCTAAAACATGAACGGACTTGGCAGAAAGGGTTCACCCTATTTGCAGCTCTGAGGTTCTGGAGTTTTGGTGCCCTCGAATCCTTACCCTACCCCAACTGGGTTTTCTTTACAAGTTCATTTTTATCCGATCAGCAAAATCAGCACTCCTCACAGAGCAGTTGAAGGTGAGGGCTACCATAGTTTAGAAAAGCACGGTCGGGTTTGGTCTAAGTTTTGCAGGATTTAGAACGATGGAGGGAACGGTGCCCCAGGTCAGAAATCCCCATGACTGCAAATGCATAAACAAAAAGAGTGGACCTGAGAGACAGTAAGGAACATGGCCAAAAATAAAGAGACGGTCTATGGGAAATCAGACCGAGTCAGTATCAAGGGAACATAATCAAGGATGCGGGAAGCCACGCAGAGACCTACATTTACTGTGGGAGGCTGTGGGTGGTGCTGCTTTGTCTCTGAGAAGGAGAACGAATGAGGAAAGCATGGTTTTGGGATGGCAGTCCTAAGGAGTTTGAAGGAAACTGGCAAGAGAAAGCAAGTTTAGGTACCCAGGGGGGGGAAAAAATACCCAGCATAGAAATATGTATGTGAGGTCTCAAGGGTCAAATGGAGGGATGGAAGCAGAAAACAGAGAAGGAAGGAAATGAAAAACAAACTAGATGATTTGGGCCAAGGGATAACTGTAAGGGGTAAGTCATTAATCGTTCCAACCACCTGTTTATGTCCTTTCGACTAGTCTGCAATTCTCCAGGAGGGGGCAGTGCCTCGCCTGGTGCCTGACACCCAGTGATTAGCCAGTGGGTATTTATTGGATTTCAGGAAAGGGTGTGACTGACGGCAGTTGGGGACCAGGTAGTTATGGATGGCAGGTGGGAAGGGTGGGAATAAGGAGCTTGTTTGTATCTGAGATACGTTAAGCTTGAGGCAAGGCTGTTTGTGTGTTCTTTCTATGCCAGAAAGGCAAACAAGATCTAAGCAGTCAAAACACACTTGGAAAACAAGTGGCTAAAGATTACCCCCATTTTATAGTTTTTAAAATGTGGATACGTTCAGGGACTAGATTACATCCAACTTCACACACTCAGTCTCTTGCTTTCTCTGTACACACACACACACACACACACACACACACACACACACACGGTATTAATTAGCATGATCCTAAGAAAATAAGTGGTCCATAAACAGG